ATGGTTAATTCTGTCACTTAGTTCTAGAATTAACTAACTTCTGGGCAGGTCTGTGGTGGTATTTCCTGAAAGGACTGACAAGGGGTGATGACCCTCCCCTAGAGCGGGCAGCACCTTGGGGCAGTGGACCAGCCTGTGCTTCTTGCTGATGAGGATGTCAGCTCTGTTGCAGAACTGCTGCCATCAAGACATCCTAAAGCTACATCATTAACAAGGAGTGATGTTGACAAAAGGAAAAAACTGTATGGAAGGATGGGAGGGTAAAGAGCATCCACTCAAAAACCCAATTGTTGATTTTGCTAACGATGTCAAAGGAATTCTAAAAATTGGTGCAGAGCAATCAATTATCTGTATTAGAATTCTGAAGGGGAACAGGTCGACGGGCTTTATCAGATTGGCTCAAAGGAGACAGGGTTGGTAGTCTAGCAATGGCTGACTGCACATGAGTGAGGTTAAGAACCTGGAAGCTGCTCAGTCCATGAACCTGGCTGCTGCAAGAGTCCTGATTTGGTTCTGAAGTCTGGGAGGATCTCTGAGGAGCCACTGGTCTTCGGTCAATGTTGGAAGACTTAAAAAGCCGATGTAAGCAAAGTGTGGCACACTTTGGTTGTTGTGATATTGGAATTGCTTAGATTCTAACAGTAGTTTAGGGAGAACTGACATTTTTGCAATACTGAGTCTCAGCTCCATGAACATGGTATGCCACTCCATTTATTTTGCCTTAACTTTCTCTTATCAGTGTTTTCTAATTCCAGCTTAGAACTCTTCCATGATTTTTAAGATTTTTCTCAAAGTGGTTTTTTTTTTTTTTTTTTAATTTTGGGTGCTTTAGACAAAAATAAACTAATTTTTTGCTTCCACATTATAGCAATCATCAGACATTTGACTTCCAAGGGTGTGGAGTTTTCTGTCTGCCAGAAAGCAAACAATTCTTCAGTGGATGCCAGGTCCTGCTTCTAATCCTGTTCATTTCTGACATTATCTGCCTGGTAGAAGCATCTGATCCAAGACTTCCGAAGATATCAATTATAAGGTTGTTGCTCAGCAACCAATTACAAATTGGTATTCCTATAAATTCACTAGAACAGCTCCCAGAATGCAGGGAAATGTATAAAGATAATTCCAAGGTATGAAAAAGGAGGCATGAACATTCCATGCCCTCAAAATACGTCTCTCTAGGAACCTCCATATGGCTCTATCTGGGAGCCTCCAAAGACTTCTACATTTTTATGGAAGTTTCAGTCCGTAGGTGCTTGGCATTGGCTGCTGGTGATCAAATTCACCTTCACCCTTTTCTCCTCCCTGGAGGCTGGAGGTTCCATCCTTCTAGCCCTGGCAGTGTTCACCCTGAAGCTACGTAGGGGCTGCCAGCTATCAGTGACCTCAACAGCATATGAAGGCATCCTTTTGAAGGTTCCAGGAATTGTATGAGTTATATACTAAGGAACAGGAAACAACACACACACACATACAGAGAGAGAGAGAGAGAGACAGACAGACAGACAGACACATAGACACAGATATAATATCACAATATCCAGATGCCATTGTAAGACACTTAAAATATGAAATTTCATCTGATATGATACACATCCACTAACTCAGGACTTCATCCTCATGATCACTCAATGTTGATATGGCATCAGTTTGACATGATACACAAATTCATTTGCTTTGCTTTTCTATTTTATGAACCAGTCTCTTCCTACCATGTGTGCCAATTTGATCTTTAGAGTGTGACAGGAAGTTCTTTCCTCTTTGTGCCCACCTTTATTAGAGCCCATGTAGTATTGAATGATAATTCCTGAATGTAATCCTATTTCTTTCTTCATCAATAAACTCTTCAGTGACAGAGATTATCTTAAAAATGAAATTCCAATTACTTCTCACTATAACATAAGAATACAATTATTTTCATATATCAACCTCCTATCCAGTGACCTTGGCAAATTAGTATGTGTTTAAGTGGCTCTTTTGTAGATAATTTAGTCTTTTTTTAAATAGCTTTACTTTTCCTTGTTTTAAATTTTCACTTTTTATATGAAAATAATTCCAAATGTGGTGATGGCAGGAAAGTGCAAAGACCTGCCCTACTCCTTCATTTCCCAGACTCACTCACTCTCCCCAGCCAGACCTATATATACTCTCTTTAGGACAAACAGGATTATACACTTTATTTAGTTTTCATTTGCCGCCTTCTTTATTCTGAAACCATTTAAAAATCATTTTCTTATTTACAGTTTTCATGCCCTGGGAATCAAACTTAGGTTGTCAGCTTTAGAGGCAAGGGCTCTTGCCTGCTAAGCCATCTTGCCACCCTTCTGAAACCATCCTGAAGTCCGTCTTCAATTACCACATCTTAAAAATTTTGATGACCCTTCAATTTGAGTCTGTCTTGTGGTTCCATAATGCACCCAGGATGCATTTTTTTTTCTTTTGGCAGAAACACCACCAATGTGGTGTCGCTGTGGTCATCGCTGGTTGACACTAACGACAGAAGATGGATCTGAAAGACCCTGGAGCTTACACCCTTCACCCTTTGCTCTTTGGGAGAAGAGCTGACCTCTGGCTGACCTGGACTAAGTGGGACTGTGAGGAGACAGGAATGTGGACCATCGTGTAAGTTCTGGTAGGTAAGGCTGTGTCCAGGGCCTCCTATAGCAGACCTTGGCCCTTGGCATGCCCAGTCCCTAAAACGTCTCATGGAGGTTTCTTTGATAGTCTCATAGTAAGAGAAACTAGGAAAGCAGTTGGGCTAACACAAGAGTCTGTGGTGTCCCTTCCACCCATCTCAGGCTGTGGCTGTTTGCTGCATATCCTGCAGGTGGCCAAAGCAGACACTGTCCTGCTGGACTTTGGCAATTAGGCACACACATCTGTGCTCTGCCCACACTACATAATAATGAAGGTTGGGGTCTGCAGCTCTCAGTCACTCTCTGAAGGAGCATTTCCCCTAGGAACCCCTGCCATAGGTGTACTTCTAAGTCGACACTTGGAAATATGACAAGATGGAGGATGTGGCTCTAGTGGGCTAGGTCTTCGACCCCCTCCCATGACAGCTGACTCCATCTGGGTGGGATGGCATCTGCTAGATTGCTCTTTTGTAAAGTTATCACTTTCCAAAGGATTCACAGGGAGATGCTTTGAATCTATGTCAAGAACTCTCATGCCTTGTTCAATGTCTATCTGCCATCTCTCCACCAGATTTAGTAAACATAATTCCCAAATGGTCATCGCTGTCTCCCTGCCCTAGCACTCATAAACTTATTCTATGGTAGTGAAGATCTCTCTCTCTTCCCCAGGTTTTTTGTTTGTTTGTTTTGAGTTGATTTGATCAGTGTGGACTCGTGACTTTCTGAGGAAAAATACAAGTTAGCATACAGAAAATGCATTGCACATGGTATTGTACCATTGCTTAATGTGGCTTGAAATACCAGCTCTGAGATTCCTGGAGATCCAAACAAAATGTGAAACTCTATCCCTTACAAGATTTTATGTCGCCAGCTTGAAAACAGACCAGCAACTGGAGCATGGACAGACAGACCACTGGAACGGAGGGGTCCAGAACCCAGACAGTCTCTACAAATGGGCAATCATTGGGAGTCACGCCTCACCCTATACGCTGGATCAGTTCTTAGTGGAGCAATGCTGAATTGCTAGACCCGAGGCCTGCACATCTGTAGCAGAGAACTGGTAAATTACGGCAAGGCCAGGGGCTCTTCCACATTGCCACAGACATCTATTCTCTGTGTGTATGCATCATATTAAAAACAAGATATAGCATATGTGTATGGCTTGCCTTGCTTGTGAAGAAAAGTTTGAAGAATGAACAAAACAAAAACAAAAACAAAAAACCCAGCATTTTTTGTTTGTTTGTTTTCTGAAACTGATACTCCAACCAAGGACCATGCATGGAGATAACCTAGAACCCCTGCACAGATGTAGCCCATGGCAGCTCAGTCTCCAAGTGGGTTCTTAGTAATGGGAACAGAGACTATCTCTGACATGAACTCAGTGGCTGGCTTTTTGATCACCTACCCCTGGGGGGTGGGGGAATGAAGCCTTACCAGGCCACAGAGGAAGACAATGCAGCCAGTCCTGATGAGACCTGATAGGCTAGGGTCAGATGGAAGCAGCAGGGGACCTCTTATATCAGTGGACTGGAGGAGGGACATGGGAGGATAAGGAGGAAGGAGGGTGGGATTGGGAGGGGAGGAGGGAGGGGGCTGCAGCTGGGATACAAAGTGAATAAAGTGTAATAAATTAAAAAGAAAGAAAGAAAGAAACAAACAAACAACGGTTTGTTGTTTGGGCCATGAGAGTGGGCATAGAGGAGAGACTTTACAGTTTATTTTTCATTGCTGCTGATCATAATCCTGAATGGGTTATCTCAAATGTTAAAATCCTGTATATTGAAAAACTCAGAGATTATTATGGGTCAATTTCAAGACCCCCAAACTGGGCAGGATATATAGGGAGCACTTACTTGCCATTCATGAAGTCCTGAGTTCAATGACTAATAGCCCTGAATTTGCTGGAGTTAGTTTGAGGCCAAGCAGAGCAATGCAGGGGCCAAGAGAAAAACCAGATTGAGTAAGTCAGCTGGGAGAGGAGTTTGAGCCAGAACAGTTGAGTTGAACCAGCCAGCCCAGAGCTCAATAAGAACAAGAAAAAGTGAGCTTATTAAATAGTGTCAGAGGCTGAAAACATTCGGGGCCTAGTTTATGATTGTACAGAGGCTAGAAGCTTTCAGTACTAGGCCTAGGTTAGCAGAAGGAGTCAGTAAGCCTCTGAGATAACAACTGAAACAGAAGAATAAAAGGGTTTCTCTGTGTAGCCTTGGCTCTCCTGGACTCACTTTGTAGACCAGGCTGGCCTCAAATTCACAGTTGATCCACCTGCCTCTGCCTCCCAGAGTGCTTGGGTTACAGGCGAGCACCCGGCTCAAGTGCACCTCTAGTATAAGATTTCATTTTGTTTATAAAGGACCACTTTCTTTTTTAAATATGGAATGCTTCACAAATTTGCCTGTCATCCTTACACAGGGGCCATGTTAATCTTTTCTGTATTGTTTTAATTTTTGTGTATGTGCTGCCGAATCGAGCACAGAAGGACCACTTTCAAAATCCCTTTATATCTTCACTGGGAGATCTATTGTCCACTGTGCTTTAATATATTAAGAAACACCACTTTTTAAGTGTGGTCAGCCAAAAGCATTTTATTTCCTGATTTATCCACGATCTTCAGGTTAAAGGTCAAGCCAACTCATGATAAATATACGACCAAAAAATTTTTATTTTTTCAAGACAGGGTTTCCCTGTGTAGACTTCGCTGTATTGGACTCGCTTTCTAGACCAGGCTGGCCTCAAACTCAGCAATCTGACTGCCTCTGCCTCCCAGGGTGCTGGGATTACATGCATGCAGACTCTTTTGCAGGGCTCGTCTAGGACCACCAAAGAACAGATATTGAAATTACAATTCATAGCAGTTGCAAAATTAGTTATGAAGTAGTAATGGAAATAATTTTATGGTTGGGGGTCACAACATGAACTGTATTAAGGGTCGCAGCGCTAGGAAGGTTGAGAACCATTGCCTTACAGAAATAAACAGAAGGCTTGGAGGAGCCTCAAGTTGTGAAATCATGAGTATCCTAGCCCCAAGCCATGCGTCTCACAGGTACTCACAGACACACGAATAAACGAACATACAAAGGTGTGGTGGTACACACCTTTAAACCCAACAACTGAGAGGCAGAGGCAGTCGGGTCTCTGAGTTCGAGGCCAGCCTGGTCTACATAGTGAAACCCGGTTCCAAAATAATAAATAAATAATAAAACAACACTAGTATTTGTTCTAATAAATAAGTCACTTCAACCTTTGCGTTTAAAGATTAGCAAATCATACCTCTACCTCAATTCGGAGAGGTAACAACCACCACGCGGGACTGGTGGTCACCCAGTTGAATACTGTGCAGATGGAGAGCTTCCACTAAGTGCTTCCAGGGACAGAGAGAAGCCCGGGGCTGTTACCATCTATCCCTCACCCGGAGTGCAGCTGTCTGCAGGGGAGGGAGGGGGTTCTGTTCGAAGAGATGCCCACATGGAGGTGGGGGAGGGCCCTACACTAAGACGGTTTTCTTAAAGTCGGCCTCTTTACTCCTTTGAACTCAGCAAGAAGGCGCGGCGGAGAGCTCAGTCCTATACAACCAAGTCTGCACGGGCAGGGCGTTTTCTGGTTGTCCAAGTTGGCCTCGAGGGCTGGCCACAGGGTCCAGTTCTGAGGACTCAAAGGGCGGTGCAGAGGGGCTTGCGGAAGGAGGCGATGGGTCCGCGAGAGTGCCGTCATCAAGGAGGAGAGTCCCCAGAGCCCGGGGGCTATGCCAGACCACGGGGACGGACCGGGTGGCGCGCACAGTAGTACTCCCGCCGGCTGGCGGACTGCGTTACCCAGCTCTGTCTCCGCCTTGGGCCGCAGACGCCTCCTCGGCCCGACTCCGCTGTCTCCCAGCTCCTGAATGGCTGGGGGGCCGGGATTAACCTTTCACCTCCGCGTTCTGTCCAATCACAGGACGGCTTTCATGCGGCCGCGGGGCGAGCGAGCGAGGGGGCGCGGAGCGGCGGCGCGACGCCGGTGGGATTCTCCAAGCCACTGTGCGCCGTCGCCGCGGGCCGAGCGCGGGCTGCGGGCGGGCAGGGCGCTGCGCAGTCTCCGCAGGCGCGGGCGGGAGGGGTCGGGGCGCGGCGCTGTGCGGCGCGGGCGGCTCCGGGCCCAGGTGAATGGAGTAACCTGACAGCGGGAACGAGGCGACGGCGAGCGGCAGGAAATGGCGGCGGCGGCGGCGGCGCCGGGCGGCACCGGGAGGCCTGGGCTGTGACGCGCGCGCCGGAGCGGGGTCCGATGGTTGTGGAAGGCCCGCGGCGCCCAGTGCTGCAGGTGAGGAGGGCTCCCGCTGGGCCGCTTTGTGTCCCGGCCCGGGGGGACGGCAGTGCGGGGCCCGCCTCTTGCGTGAGGCCCGCGCGGGAGCCGGGAGCAGGCCGCGACGCCGACCCCGGGCGGGTGACGGTTCACGCGAGCCTCGGGCAGCCGGGGACCGGGATCCGTGTCCTCCTGGCGCCCCCGCCTTGGGAGGAGCGGGCTTTGACAGGTCCTGTTCCGCGTTCGAAGCCTGAGCAAAGACTGGAGGTGCCCACGCGGGCCGGCTTCCTGGCCGCAACCCGGGCCTGCCGAATGGCGCGGGACCCCCTGGACGACTCTCAGGATCAGGAGGGGGACAAGGCCTCGGCGAAGTGCTGGCTGGAGCCCTGGGAAGGACTGTTGTGTGTTTATTGGCAGGTGACCAGGGCTGGCCCCAGGGGGTGGGTGGCCGAGGCCATCTTTCTTTGCCCTTCCCCTCTCAGATCGCTGTGCCTGGACCCTGCGAAGGAACCTTTCCTTAAGGGACTTTCCTTAGGCCAGAGCGGTGTGCATTTTAAGTTAGCACATCAGATTGATGTGGGTTGCTTAGCAGAGCTGAGCTGCCCTTGTGACTTTGCCTGCAGGACAGCGCCAATGTCCTGAAGATTTGCCTAAAGGGGTGATTGGGGAGTCGTTGATCTGTAGTCCTTGCTTTTGTGAGTAGAGTTGTGGCTAAAGGGTTAAGTTACCGACATATGCTGTCCCAGGTATTATGATCAAGAGTTAAAAACTTCATCTGTTGAGAGGGAATTCCTTGGGAGTATGCATACTTCAGCCTGAGTTTCTGAATCTTTGCAGATCTGATTGTCAGTTTTCTGAGGAGCTGCACTATCCGTCAGTAAGAAAGGGCACAAGTTAAGAGTTGAGCAACTTGGGAAATGTTTTTGAAACCTGCTGTAAAATACTTCCACTAAGTTAAAAATTCATTGGTATAAACATTGAATTTTCTAAGTAAAATCTCCGTTGTAAGCAAGGGCCCAAAAATTTACTAAAAGGTGAATTCTGGGTGAGAGGCTTGTAGCAAACAGTAGTTTTGATATCTTTGGAAACTGAGTTCTGGAATAATCTATTTCACCAATTGTCTTTCAGACTACCTGTGGTGCATGCATTGTGTAATATAAGCAGTTCACATGCTCCTGAATGGAGTGTGTTTTATAGAACTGTAGGCACCCAGGGTTGCTTTGCATGATCAGCATAGTAGCCTAAGTTTGTGAATTTACTTGTGGCTCCAAAAGATGACTGGTTTGGCCTTAATTGGGTGATAAAAGACCTTGCAGCTACTTTAGTAATGTTTGTCTTTATGTCCCATGCCGAGTACTGCATGGCAGCATTTCTGGGTAGAGTAGTATCGCCTGTTGTTGAGCTTTCTTGTTTTGGTTTTAGAAAATGTTTTGCTGTAGCTTATTTCTGTCTTCTTTGACCTCAGCCTCTGGAGTACTGGCATTACAGGCATGCACCATCAGGCCTGACTCTTGGTGCTGACAGGATAGTGATTTTGTGATAGTATGTAATGGGTAGTGTTTAGGTGTAGCTCTGCTTTCTAGGGAGGATAGCCTTTAGAGCATTGTGTTACAGCATTGCCACCTCTTATTCTTTGGTGCTGTCTGATGATGTGAGATGGTGATGTCATTTGAGAAGGTGGGTGTACACGCTCTTTGAGCATTCCCTCTCTGCAGCCTACGCATGCTTTTTTCTGTGGCAGGTAAGGAGGGCATTTGGTAAGTCTCATCGATGTTCTTTTCAGACATTCTCAGTTTGTGCATTTTCGTCCTTCTTTCTGATTTTATGCATGAGGGAAGTGAGACTTGGTGATGACTGCTTCGAATTGCGAATCTACCTGAGCCTTGACTGAATCATGATTTGGTTTCAGAATCCCTGCATGACTGCTCCTGAAAGTGTGCTGTCCACGTGTATCTTAGGCAGCCTGAACAAAGTGTGATATAGCCTCAGTTAATACAGGGAGTGAAGCTCAGTCCAACTGAGATTTTCAGGTGACCTCTGCTTATCTAAGTGTTTCCAGTTGTTTTAAAATGTGACAGAATACTCAGGATTGCAGCTTTAGCCATGAAGTGTACGGTGCAGTCGCATTCAATGTTTCACAGTTTCCACTGTCCATCTCCTACCTTCTTCCCTCACTGGAACACTCTCACCACCTAAACACCCCACATTCTGCTCTTCTAGGCATCCACCATTTTCTCTTTTCCTTCTCTTTGGATTTGGCCTGCTAGGAACCTCATGTAGGTATAGTCATTTAATATTTGTCCCTTGATGCTGGTCTGTTAACACCTAGTGCAGTGCTGTGGGCTTCCTGTCATACATTTATCAATCCCCTCACTATGAAAGGCTGACTGATACTCTGAAAGACTGAATGGTTTGACTTGACATTTTTTACATTTACAATGTGTGAAAAAGTACAATTATAGTAGAAACTGTTTTTTTGATTTTGAGTTTTTGATTCTGTTTCCCTTCCAAGTTGGTCATGTGGTCATGAGGAGTGACCAATGATTCCTTATATTGTGTTTTGTTGTTCAGCCAGAAAGTTTGATATGCCAAGTATACACTTTCCCCATTTCTGTATTTTCAACTTGGAAGTAGGTTCCTAGGGCCATTGATGGTGGAGGAGCACCTCTGTATGCCCTGTTCTGCTTATCCAGCCGTCTATGGATGGCGTCCATCTTTTGACTGAAGAGTAGTTACTACTGTGAGCATAGATATGCATGGGACTGTTTGAGGCCCCCACTGCTGTCCCTTTTGGGCATTTACCTCAAACTGGTCAGATTACTTGTTGAGCATCAAAACACTAGGCTCAGGTTTCTTCCAGATTGGTAATTTCCTATAAGTAGTTTCTCTGTGTCAATAAAAGACTAGAATCTTCTCCAGGCCCAGGAGTTGCTGCTTTTTAGAGGGTTGGTTCTTATCGCAGTATGCAAACAGAGATTTTTATCACTGAATTTGTTCAGAGGATCAGCAGGCTGTTGTGTCCTGTTGGAGCCAGAGGAAGGGGCTGCTAAGGTTTCTGTGTACCTTGTGCAAATAGAAAGTTGAAGCCAGCTGATTATTCTGTTTACTTTAGGCTTTGCTTTTCAGCATTCAAGAGTTTAATTCATCCTGAAGGGCAATAGGAGTGAGTGTGTGTGTGTGTGTGTGTGTGTGT